TCCGACTTTCCGACTGGTAGAAGTATCCAGTCGTCTTTTTCCGACACGGACTGGTGCTTGCACTTCCAGTCGTTATTTCCGACTTTCTACTGGTGCACTCGCACTCTGGTTCGATCTTACCTCGTTGACTGGTGCTTACGCCTCCAGTCGACTTATGACTGGTGTTTTTGGGTTCGGTCGGTGTTTTTGACCGAACTTTAAGGTCCTGAGAGTCAGGATCGCTTGGTTGACCTGGCTGACGGTCAGGTTCTATTTTGTCCAGGCTTAAGGCCTGGATCGGTCTGGTTGGGTTAGGTTAGATTTTCTAGTACCCACCCTTTCTATCGTTGGACCCACCCTATTGGTTTGCTTCCGGTGAGTCCTGTGGAACTCATCCACGCTCTGTACCGTGACAGATATTATTCTTAACGACTAACTTAGCCTAGTCAGTCTGAGCTTATCACTACCAGCTTTTTCCTCGCTGGTTGATTACAAAAACAAAGTATCAAATCAAATAAACTAAATCAAACCCCATTGGGTGTACAATGTTACTGAAATCAAAACGCGTCTCGTCCTCTCGGGACTTGCCGACGGTTGCTATGAAAACTATCTTAATTACATCACAGTGGCTATATAAATGCTTGTGATAAAAACGAACTAAAATAGAAAAATCGAACCAGTATTCAACTTAACTAACGAGGTTTCCCGTTCCTTATGAACTAACGCTCGCATCAGCTGGTTCTGAGACGTTCTTCGCGACCTCGCTTACGCTTGTCTCTTTAATAAATTACAACATAACAAAAATGCTTAATATTAACGAGGATTTTCTTCAAGCCTCTGCAGACGGGTGGTTACTCCGGTTGTTCCCCTTCCTGGGGTTGCTCATCCTTCAGCACTGGAGCCTCTTCCTCACCCTCACGCGCAGTCTCCGGGTAGACGTCGACCGCGCTCTCCTGTTGCCGGTCCGCGGCTACACGGCCCCCGTTTACCGAGTCGATGGAAACGTTCTCGTCGGGACCATGGTGTTCCTCTGGTTGCATCAGCTCGAATGCCTGTTCAGCCTCGATGAATGCTTGAACCAGGCTTAAGTAGGTCTGCCGCTTGTCGCTGACATCCGCTTTATCGGATGAGTCTACCGTGATGGTGGACTGTGCGGATCTGCTTGTTGGTTCCGGGTTGTCCTTGCTCGAGGTGACGATTATTGTCTCTGTGGAGTCGTCAATTTCTCGGTCTTGAGGTGTCCTTACCCGGTGTGTCTCGTCAGAACGGCTTTCTTCTGACTCGGTAGGAATTTTCTTCCTCAGTGTCGGATTTTGTCCACTGGTTGGTGCTCCGTTGAGGTATTTCGGTCCTGTGTAGTCTTACTTGCAGGATTTTACCAGTGGTTGCAGCTGGTCGCTCGTCTTCGTCTAGCGACGACTCCGACACGTTTTCCGCCGAGTTTGTGTCCTCGGATGTTTCCGGAGGTGTTGCTTGTCTCCTCCTTCTTTTGGGTGGCTGGAGTTCGCCTAAATCCCGGAGTATCTCGTCGAGTTTCTCCTGTAGTACGTGCGCCTGATCTCTGGGCGTTCTTTTGTTCGTCTTCGTTGTTACGAAGCGGCCCGTTCTTGGATCGCGCTCTCTGTGCAGCGGGTCTTGGGTCGATTTGAATCGCTCGGCCCGCGGTCCTTCGTGAGTCTCCTTTTTAGACAGGTGTTGTCTCGGCGGGATCTTTCGCCTTCTGATCCATGTTGCTGCGCTGATCATTTTGAATGGGTCCTCGTCGGACTCGGAGTCGCTGCTCCACATCCTTTTGTTGATCGGTGCTCTCCTTGCACCGGATGTGCCGGGTTGCGGGTCCTGTGCCCGTCTCGTGCCAGATGTACCCGGTTGCGGCTCCCGTGTCTCTCTCGTGCCAGATGTGCTGGGTTGCGCGTTGTCCATTTGGTATCTGGCTCGACCCGAGATGGGTGTGCTCGTAGCGATCGTTGCTGTCTCGTGGTCTCGCTGAGAGATGGTTGATTCTGTCTGCTGATCCTGTTGTCTGTTCAGGATGGAGACATTTAGTTGGTATTGTCGCCGCAGGTTCTCTCTCGATCTTCGCAGTTGTTGTATCGCCTCGCGTTCTCGGCGCAGGCTCTGCTCGATTTCCGCCTCCATCTCTCTGTTGCGCCGCTCCAATTCTCTGTTCTCTTCCTCTATCTCTCTTCGTTCTCGGCGCGCTCTCTCCAGCTCCGCTTTGATCTTTTGGAGGTTTTTCTCCATCCTGTTGCGGTGATGTCCAGTTGTCGCCTCTACGCTGGAATTATTATCCCGGTTATCGGCTGACTCGGACTCCGGGCCTGGTCTCTGTGGAACCTGTGAACAAACTTCTCTCTTTCCCCGGATGTTGGGATGCTGGAGTGTGATTGGATGGATCGGAGGGACGGTGAAGCTATTTGCCTAAGCGGGTCTGTCGCGCCTGGTGGTAGGTCTTGCTCTAACGCTATCTTTATTAATTGCGCTACTTGTCCCTGTAAAGATTTAAGATTCTTTATTAAGAAACCTATCGCTGTCGTATTTCGATCGACTTGCTCCTGCGACGCTAGTCTGAGCGTGGAGGCTTCCGAATGTGGAGGCGACTGGATCTCGCCCTCCGGTGGCCAATGCCTCAGGAAGTCTCTGTCGATGATTTCCGGACTCTGCGGGGGTTGCGGCTCCTGTGGTGCCTGCTCCGCGTTCGCCAGTCTGCGCTGTAACTCTGGCTTGGGGAGTCCTTGAGTGAGGTGGCTGTACCAGTCGTACAGTTCGTTATCGTTTTCGCGCAATTCGACCAAGTAATTATCTCTGGGCTTTCCGGTAAGCCACGCGTTCGCGGAAAATAGTGTTCTCTGATCCCAGAGTTTCCGTTTGTACGATGTGTCGTACTATCGCGAACATGAGCGCGTAATAATTTCGTTTATAGTCGCCTGAGACGACTCTTCCTCTTACCGTGAGGGACTGCGACGAGTACCTTAGTATGGGATCGTATCCCTCCTCGCGCAAGTATCGGTTTATATTGGCTATCGGCTGTCGCAAGCCTTCTACGAGCCTATCCTCGGTCGTGTGCTTGAACCACGCGTTTTCAAAGTGGTAGCACAGTACCTCGCAGTCTTCGCGCGTCTCGTCGTCGTCTGCTATCTCGCGCGGTGGACCATAAAGGAGATCCTGTTCAGGAGACGGTTCATACTCGTCTTTCCCGACGGATAGCAGGGAATCGGTCTGCGTCGACGCGTTGGTTACGTCGATTGTACTTTCGCGCGATGTTTGGGACCGCGAATCGCTTTCGCGCGATATTTGGGACCGCGAATCGTTTTCACGCCTTGTTTCGCGTCGCGAGTCGTACGTAATGCTCGCGTAGGACGTGTTCGACGAATACTGTTCGTCCGTGTGGCGGTCTGCGCTGTCGCTCCAGTCGTTTCGTCTCGTCGTCCAGTCCGTCGTCGATTCGATCGGTGGCTGGCTGTTTGATTTCGCGTCACTTTCCGACGAACTTTTGTCGTCGACGGTGAATATGGGTACCCTTTTGTCGAACTTGATTTTGTCGTCGAACATGGCATCCGGGTACGCCACGGGTCCTCTGTTGTTGTACCAATCTAGGTATTCGTCGTACTCGGGTGTCAATCTACCCGTTATCGCGTGCGCTGTCATTTCGATCCAGAAGGGATCATCTCCGGTTTTGTCGAAGAATGTTGGAGTATAAAACTCTGGCAGCCTTTCGCATTCCTTGGTTGACAGAAACGATGGAGTCAATCTTCTGCGGGCGTTCCACTTTTTCCAGGCTTCTCTAGCCTCGTGGTAGTCCCATTCGTCGTTTTGCGCCTCGTTCCTCCAGCTGTCTCGTCGCTGGTCGGCGTCTTCTTCGTCCGCGATCTTTATGTGGCGGCGAAGTTGCTGCGGCGTCATTCTGCTGAAGATTTGCCGCGGTTCCTCTTGGCAGACAATGTCGAACCAGTCGATTTTCTTGTATGTCGAATTCGACGAGGAACTGTCCGTGTTCATGCAGCTCTCCACGTTCGCGGGCTCGTTTTCCGTGATTCGAATCCTCGCTGCTTCTTCCGAGAGTCTGCGGTCTTGCTCCGGGGTGGTTTCGCTCACCTCCGGGCGTATTCTGCCTTTGATGACATCTTTCTCCCAGTCTTCCGGTTCCTGGGGTTGGTTGTCTATGCGTTCGGGGTTTTTCCACGGTCGTGGCCCCCGTTGATTTCTTCTCGTGGGGTTTGGCTTCGGTTGCGGCCCCCGTTGCCCGTTTCTCACGGGGTTTCGTCTCGGTTGTGGCCCCCGTTGTTCGTTTCTCGCGGGGTTTTGCCTCGGTTGCGGCCCCCGTTGTCTTTTATCGTAATACCGGCTGTTCTGGTACGTCTGTCTCGTTATCGGGCAGATCGAGCAGAAGTCGTTTGCCGGGTTTCGCGAAGCTGGTGTGTGTACCGTTATAGCTTGCGTAGGATATTCTTCCGTGTTCGATCCCGATGTTATCGAGATGGGTCTGTCCGAATCGGAAGATAGAGTGATCGGCTGGCTGTTTGTCCAGTCGGTTCGTTGTCGCGACATGGATGGGCCAGTCAACATGTCTCGGTTCGAGTCTGACGACGTTTGCGTCCGTATGGTCGGTTCGGACCCACGACTCGTCCCGGTGGGGAACCTCGCGTCGGATGGGTCTATCTCATCCTGGTTCTCCGTTGGCTCCACTTCGTCCGTGGGTGGAGTCTCCACGTTATTCCAGTCGTTTAACGGCTGATGGCGGATTTGCTGAGGAGGGACTCGTCCCTTTCTTCCTCAGGTTGGGCGTCAGGCCGTGAACCCTCGACGCGATCTTTCGGAGGCAGACGTCTCCCTACTCTCGCGTTTGGTTCGGTGTGCGCGTACTTGAGAGTCGCGCTTCTGTGTGGTCGCAGATGCCTTCTGTTGCATATGCCTGCGTCGCTGCCGTTGAGCCATTGTAGTCGAAAGGTGTTTGGGTGCGGGTTTCCCGTGATCACCAGTGGACCTTCGAATACTGGATATAATTTTCGCATCTTCTTGTGCTCGGCCGAGCTGATGCGGTGTGTCTTTCTCCAGACACGTACGCCTTCCTCGAACGGAACGGCTTTGCCTCGTTTCTCCTGCTGTGTCGTTCTCTTTCGCGAGGCTATTCTCATGTTTCTGAGCGCTGCGTCAATTCGTTGTTCGCGCTCTCGCCCGTCGTACTGACGGTCATCATCGTTGTTCGCAGGCTCCAGCGCTGCGGGTATCTTGTGCGGGGCGTTCCTCGTCCACCTGTCATCGCGTTCCAGATGCACGGGTGGGAATCCAGTGCTCGCGTGTCTGGATTTCGTGTATTGATGGCTTTCTACGCGAGAATTATCCCATCCCATCGCGTATGGCTAAGCGTGCACGGAATACAGGCTACGGAGGGCGCGGCTAGTTCGCGCATGTACCTCTTCATAACTGGGTTGCTTGCGGGGTTATTAGGGGTGCGGTCTTTTCTTTAACAGCAAAAATAAGTTATGCCTGTTCGCGAAGCCTAACCACGATGCGTTGTGAGAAATTGCCCCCGCAGTCCCGATAGGATACGGACGCCCTCGGGCGAACCGCGGCGTGGTATTGTAGTCCGTGTCTTTGAGTATTTTCCACATATTCGTCAATCCGTTTTTGATTGTCATACGGGTATAGCGCGACGAAGTTTTCGTGTAGAGGTCATCAGTACTAATATGTTCACCAAGTTTCCGCCGTCGGACCCTTGTAGTGGGCGAGTACAAATCTATGGACACTTGTTTTCCCGTGTCCCTTGGGTACGTCGTAATAATACTCGCCCTCCGTGGGTCGCAGTGTTACCACTTGTGGCTTGGCACGTCATGCAGGAGCGAACACCACGTCCCCTGGCTTATGTCGTCGACGTTGTGATATCAAAGGTATCTCTTGGCAAATTCC